CTTTGTTTCTTTCTTGCCCATATTTGTTCCAAAGAGATGCATTGCAATCCTCGAGGATTTGGTGACATTATTGTGGTGATGTTGAGGAGTAGTCACCTTGACTACTAGATTCTCTCTAAGACAATAAGGACATTGTCTAATTTAGTTTTGGGAGAGGTTCTCGTGTGCGCTTGGTATATATACCTTTCACCCTCTCTCTTTTTATTTTATTTATTTATTTACTTTTTTCCTTTTGGCTTGCTTAGTTTAGTTTTTTATTTCTTTCTTAGGTAAGATTTATTTCTTTCAAAAAAATACAAAAAAATATTCCAATGAATTATTAATCATGCTTCTCTGTGCCCCTTGATGAAAATTTTTCGAAATTGTTTTGATTCTTGGTTATTGATGCTAAATATTATGTATTTTTTGATCATGATTTGAAGTTTGATTGCTTAGATGTCCTAACATGCGTCAATTTTGTCCAACTACTTGTGAATATAGTGCTTGACTAGTTGATTTGACAAGGAATGTGTGTTAGTTCTTGGTATGTCAAGAAGTTGAGTATTGGTTTGCAACTTTGAGTAATGTTTGTATGACTCATTATTATGCACATTGAGGAGGACGAAGGCGTTTATTCTATTAGGTGGCCTTCAGTCGATATTAGATACATTTGTTCCCTTCTTGCTACCCATGTTGTTGCTTGTGCCCTTTTATTGTTTATTTAACCACATTACAAGCCTATTTAAGCCCCATTGGTTACTAGTCATAAGCTTGGCTTGGGGGAGCTAATAGTTAGTGAGGTGAGGGAGTTGCTGTGTGCACATAATTTGCACAATGTGAAAAAAAGAAGAGTGATTATTCTTTTGATATTATGATTGGAAAAAAATGTTGACAATTTATGTTTCAAAGTTGAAAAAATTTCCAATGTGAGATAAAAAGAAAAAAAAAATCAAAAGAGAAAAACAAATTGTTTCAATGTTCAAGTATTCTAATTGAAGGTTGCAATAGAAAAAAAAAAGAGTTTCAAAAAAAAAATATTCAAAAGAAAAGAAGAAGTTCAAAGTTGGTATCACTCTAGTTTCATGATGTTTATTTTTATGAGCGATTTATTGTAAGTGTTGAAAATATTGTTAATATTGGTTGGTTTGTTTGGTGAATTTTTGCTGAGTTGAGTTGAGTTATGTTGGAGATTTTTGGTCATTTTTTATTTTTGACCTTGGTTTTATTTATAAGGATTTGGCTCCCTTAAGCATAGCTTTACTCCCACATTTTCCCAAATTTATCCTACCTTTTACCCTAGCCTTTTATTACAAGCTTTGAAGACCTTCCGGCCTTTGTGCATAGAGTTGTGTGAATGTGAAATTAGTTGTTTATCAATGCAAAGAATGATTTGACATATTTTGAGTCGACTATTTAGGTTGAGTGCTTATTTCTTTAAACAAAAGAGAGTGTGAGTTGGGAGGGCATTGTTCACATAAAAGGGGTTGGTTGGAGAGCGATCGAGTACATATTTTAATCGCCACATAAATGAGAGTCGAGTGTGTGAGCACTAGTCTTGAATTCTATATGCTCCTGTGGTTTGCTCTATTTGACAATTTCTAGGGAAGATTGGCAGTTAGATGGATTTGATTGGTTAACTTTGATACATATTTGTCGGATTTAACTTGAATCGTATTTATTGATTTAAATTATTTTTGGGGTGAAGTATTGATTTATTTATTCATTGCTTTGCTTAGGGACAAGCAAAGGTTTGGCTTTGGGGAGTTTGATGAGTCTATTTTATATATATTTTTATTCCCCGTCCCACGGTCATATTTGTGCTTATTTGAGCTCAGCAGAACTATTTTTATTACTAATATACGTTTTCTAGTGTTTTTGTAGAGTCGGTATTATTTTGTAGGAATTTGCAGATTTATGATAATTCCCGAGCTTATTGAGCCACTACAAAGTCATTGGAGTTTGATCGTATTTATGACCGTTCATATGAAGCCCAAAACCGAGTTAAAGGAATTTAATCCGGTGATTAAGGGCTCAATATATAAAGAGGTCCAAAATTTCCCAAACAAATTACGGACCAAACAAGAGAAGAAATGGGCAACAAAAGAAGCCACAAAGCCCAACTCGCAGCTCCAGTTGACCGGGCCCGATCAGGCGAGCTAGCCCAATTGGACGGACATCTTCAGCATCAAGCTATTCACTTAGTGGGCCTGCGAATTATTGGGCTTGCTTACTCGGTTTTCACTGACCAGAGGAGTAGTAGCTTTAGTTTTGCTAGGCGGTGATTAATTTGTTAGAATTAGGATTTCTAAGATATTCTAGGTTTTTTGTCAGACTTTTGGTAAGAATCCTAGGATTTATTTTTGCTCAGTTATCTTTTATAAGGATTAGTTTTAGCGTTACTCGTAATATATAAGCTTTGACTTTGAACTTTCCGAAGGTTTTTTATTAGGTAGTTTTAGTTGTAGTTTTAGCTTCTAGATTTTGTTCTTAACTTGTTTAGCTTTTTCTCTTTGTCTAATTATATTTCTTATTGCTTTTAATTATGCTTTATTTAATTTTAATTATGTGCGAGTAATTTAATTCTAGGGTAATGGGAATCCATAATTAATATGAAGGGGTAATTTATTATTGTTGATTGTCAATGCTAGATTAATTTCCTATTGATTGATTTAATGCTATGTAACTAGACATGGGAAGGTCGTTTATGTATGAGTTTATCAATATTAATTCGAGATTCGATAGATGAGAATTAATATTAAGGCTTAGTTTCAATAGGTATGTTAATTTATAAATGGTTAAGTCGAGATTCGAGAGATGAGATTTAATACCGGTAGATTAATTATGTGATTGTAATACGTAGCGAAAGCTCTTTATGATCTGATTAATTTATGCATTGATGTTTGATTATTATGTTTTACCCTGGAATATTGTTTATTGGTGAACCTATGCCCTAGGTCTTTTATTCATTGGTTTCCTCTATTTTTATTCTTCCCTACTTTTACTCATAGTAGTTTAGTTATCCTTCGATTACAATATATTGGTTACTTTATAATTTAGATTGCTTTAATTAATTAGAAATAGAAAGACCAGTTTCCTTGTGGATTCGACCCTACTTCACAATCTGCATTAGTTAGAGGATTTAGGTATTAGTTTTGATTGGGTGATACGACTTTAGCCTGTCAGTCATATCTCCCTGTCTTAAAATCATCTACATTCACAATCTTCTCATTCTCTCTAAAAGCTAGAAGATTTCTCTCTCTCTCTCTTCTTTTTCTAAACCTTCCTCTTACAAAATTCCTCATTCATTAGCTTTAGAAACACCTAGTCATGTTCGAAGTTGCCTTCTCCCTAGACGTGAAAGAAAGAGGTACGAGGCATCAAAGTAAGTACTTTAATTGTTTTTTTGCTCTTTTGATATAGAAATCTTGCTTATATTGTTTTATTGATTCCTAGTATCATGTTAGGATGTTTTATTGATTCCTAGTATCATGTTTAGGGATAATTTAGTTTCTAATATCTATGATTATTGTGATGCTTCCTATTTCTTTCCCAATATCATGTTAGTATCATGTTGAGGCTAAATCTTTAATCTTTATTGTTTAGTGATATGCTAGGGTTTGTTATAATCATGTTAGTATCATGCCTAGGGTCTTGCTATTATGCATTAACATGATTATTATAATTATGATTATGATCGTTATTATGTTACTTGATTTGTTTATTGTTATTGCTTGATCAAACCTTTTATGCATATTTAAAGGGAATTTGTACTTGTAATCACGCTTAATAAGATAATTAATAATCTTGTTTAGGGTTAATATGATTATAATTCAAGTGATCGCCAATGATAGATTTATTTGTGCATTAATATTCAAGCAACATAGATTAAACAGGTTCAGGGTAAACCTATTGATTGTATGTTAGTCAGAAAGCGCACATGAATACGAGAAGAATAAAGTAGCAGCCTATTTTTACGGTAGGCTCAATCTCTTTTAGGTTGGATTTGTACCTTCATCCCCGAACTTTCAATCATGGTTCCAGACCTATTGGAGGTAACGATCTCCAGGATCGTTAAGGGGTGTTACCTTTACCCTGTGAACGATTTACAAGTTCCGAAAACTTGTTGGCGACTCTTTTACTATAGCTTCCTTCCCTTTGGACGCCACCATGCTTAAGTGTATGATCACAGTAGAGCTCAAGTGTGGGATGACTTAAAATGATCCCTACAGTTTTTTGGCGACTCCATTGGGGAGGATTTCTACTTTAATTCCTGAAATTTATTTTGGCAATGATTTAGGATAAGTCACTACTACAAAAAAGGGATTAGAGAATTGTTAAAACTAGCTTTATAGAACGCCTTACAACCGTTCTTCTGCTAAGCGATGTATAAAGTATAGAGAACGGGTTAAAAAGGCGATTTTTACGCTTTCAATAGAGAAAGGTTCTTGGAGATAACAATTCTCTTTTCCCTTCCTAAATTAAGGCCCCGTTTGGTTTAATGTAAAACATTTTCAATGGAAAATTAGTTTTCATGGAAAACATATTTTCAAGGAAAAACACAATTGCAAATTAGTTTTCCTTTGTTTGGTTGCATACAAGAAAAGTCCAAGAAAAATAAAAAATAAGAGTGGAAATGTAAGGATGAATGAGAGGGAAGTAAAAAAAAAAGGTAAGGAGGAGAGAGGAAAATGTGGCTTCCCTTGTTTTTGGAAGGAAAATGTTTTCCATCATTAAGGATAGAATTTTCCACCCTTGAAAAATTGTTTTCCACTCCTTAACAAACCAAACAAAGGAAAATGAGAAAAAAATGAAAAATTCATTTTCCATGAAAACATTTTACATCAAACCAAACAGGGCCTAAATAAAGAAAGAAGGAAAAAACAATAGTTATCTAACTTAACCGTTCTGTTTTCCTTCCCCTAATAGAGCTGTTAGATAAGATAACAGTTCTCTATTAATCGTTAAAAATTTAAAAAAAAAAATTTAATTTGAAACATGTTATTATATAATTGACAATAAGATTTTCTAAGTTTGAAAAATTATATTCAGTGGGATAAAATTTTATAAGTCAATACAATGAAATCCAATTTGTTATATATTAAAATAATCTTTTCCAAAGATGTATAATTATAATAAGTAAACTAATATTTGCAAGAGATTTAGCATTCTTATCATAAGGAGAACAAAGTAAAAGTCTGGCAGTAACTCATTTCTTCCATACTCATAAATATGGTATTACTTGTGTCTTTCATACACGTTCTTTCATGCTCGAAAACCTACGAAATATATAAAGAAATTATATAAGTAAAATTCATACGAAATATATGATTACAATTTATTCCAACTAAAACGATGTAACAATTGTGATAGCTATACATTATATGAAAGACGACATAATAAGTTCGCTAAAATCATAGAAAATAGATTAAAGTATCAATTGTGAATTTGTGATATCTTTACTTATTACGAAATGATACAATCATAAAAGTCACAAAAATATAAAGAAACCTCAAGTAATACCAAAATCTATAGTTGTTCAGCAAAACATCTGAGGTATAAACAACACATTAAATAAAAAAAAATGTAGAAAATGAACTAACAAAGTCACGTTTAATTTGTTGCAGCTCCATTAATTTATCAATCTCCAACTAATCCAACCTCATTTTCGCTTGCGCCCTTCATTATACCAGACAATTATTTCCAACATCAAACAATACAAATCAGTGATCACACTAACAGAAAAAAAAAAGTAGATCTGAATTTTCTTTTAACAAAAAAACAGATCTAAATTAACCAAAAAATAGAATCGTATTAATATAATTGGTATGCAAAAGTACTGACCTCTTTAATATACGAAGAATTGATCATTCTTGGAGAGCTTTATCATCAGTTTGATTCATAAAAGCTCAAATCAAAGTAGAAAGAGTATTAATGATTCTAATGAAAGAGGTAGACGATCGATATTGACGAATTGAATTAGAAAAATAATTTCCGCAAAGTATACGAGGGTAAGTGATAAGGAAGTGGTTAAAAGTGAGCGTACAAGTAGGGATAGGTTTTAGGTGGGTTTATTTTTAAACTTTTTTTCTGGGAGGAGTAATTGTAGATTGATGGAGTAAGATGCGCGGAATATGCTCAACTGTTGGGAAAGAACACGCTTCTCCAGCTTCTTAATTTTTTTAATTGAATATTATTTTTTATGGGTTAAAACAATACAGAACAGTTAGGTAAGTTAGTTGTTCTATGTTCTTTTACTCATAAAATGGTTAAGAGAGAAATGCGTTCTGTGTAGTGATAGAGAACGGTTATCTAAATTAACCGTTTTACATCTTGCGTTTCTTAAACTAGATTTTGTAGTAGTGAGTGGATGAGACTCGAAAAGTTCTAAGTATTTCATGTATGTAATTTTGATTGACATTCTCATAAGCATAAAACGGTTCTCATAAGAAAGACTATCCGTAATGAGTAAAAAACATAGGATTTTTACACGTAGGAATCTATGGAAATAACTTTCACTACTAAAGTCGTAATAATGCTACGGAAAAAACTGGAAAATTCAAGAATAGAAAGCTATTGAAGCATGTAGGAATTAGCACTGAGAAAACAGCGTCAACGCCTAATGATGGCACTGTCGCCAGGAGACACGCCAGGCGACGGTGCCAGCGTCTGGTGACGACGCTATTTTTTCACGCCAAATTCTTCCTCCACCGAGCCAGAAATCTACCTTCTTGTTTCGACTAGTTTTCTAGTACTATTTGCTCGGTTTTACTTTCTAATTGAGTTTTTTCCTATTTTTTGAAACCCATATGTGTTCTACATATGGACATAAACCTCTGGGATTCATGCTCCATCTACCCAATCGAACGCTCCTGGCAACGAAAGGTACACCCGAGAATGTTGAATTCACCAAACCATGGAAGCGAGTTTAACTCGCGGGGTTCCATCCACACGTGCCAAACCTTCCAAAGGTAAGGCTTCTACGCGGTGCATCCGGACTCATAACCATGGACCCTCTTTGACTAACCCATATCCCGAACTTTAGAGAACTAGAGCCATGGTTAGGCTATAAACTCATTGCATCATATCGTGACTATATGTCTACTTGTGTATTATTTGTTGTGCATACTCTATATGTTTTTCCTAACCGTTAATTTGACTTATGTATGAGTTAAATAAATGAAAATAATAACTAAAAGGAATTTTCTAATCTAATTAATTAATTAATAAATGACTAAAGTTTAATAAATTGATCAAACTGGACTTAGTACGACTTTAAGGCTAATCCCTTTAGAGCAAAATACAGGAAACAGTCCCAGGTCGATGTTCCACAATGGCGTAAAGATTTGGGCTGTGGCGCCACACGCTAATGTATGGCACCAGGCGACGATCTCGTTGTTTAGCGTTGGTCGCCATTGTCTGGCGACGGTACTATCGTCTGACAACAACCTATAATTTTGCTCGAGTTTTCACGATGCGTCAGTTTAATTAATTTGCTAATATAGTTTAAACAGTTTATTAATGGCAGTAATTATATTCAGTCTTTAATCGAGTATAGGCACATAGTCGCATGGTCTCACAAAAGAGTCAAAGTATGTCACTCAGATTCACCATTAAAGCACACACATAACATGTCTTATCCTGAACATGTCTAGAGAGTCTTCTATGCGCGTCTTTCCGTTATATTTTTTAGGGGGGTAAGTCGGATATTAATCCTCCAATAAAACCATATTTTATAAAACCTTACTTGGTCTTCAAAAATACCCCACATTTTTCCTTTTTTGTTTTTAAAATCAATAAAGTCAAAGCCAAATTCGAGTGAAGTAATTGAAATAAATGGTTCAATTTACAGCGCTTGGTCAAGAAAGGAAGGGCGGCTAATCAAAGACAACACTTTTGTTCAGATACTCCTTTTTGACAAACCCATTACTCGGAAAAGAAAATCTAAGAAGATCATGGCCACTGAAGAAGAAGTTAATGAACTCAAGAAGGATGTAGCCAACCTAACTGACTTGATGAAAAACATAGCTCTTCAAGTTAATTACCCTGTAAGGCAACATCGAATAGAGCTCATGCAAGAAATCTTGAGAAAGATATCCAATGATTATAGGCTCCAAGGCATTAGCTCACAAGGGGTCTTAGTGGACAAGGAACATCTTCCGCAAAAGTTTAGTGCCACTGACACCCCTAAGTTCAAGGCCACAGACAATCCCTACTTCCATTTAAGAGCATTTGAAACAATAATGAATATTAAAGGAATAGATAAGAAAATTTTCCATACATTTTTTTCTTTATCACTAGAAACTCTTTGTCAACAATGGTTCTTTTCTCTTAACAAAGAGAAAACCTCTACTTGGGATACCATTGTAAATGCTTTTATTGATAGATACAAGTGCAACATTCGAGTTGAAACTGATCATAGGGAACTTGAGATACTCAAACAAAAAAAGAATGAAGGATTTACTTTTTTCTTATAAGTGGAGGGAAACCTCTGCTAAGATAATTCAAGTCCCTACTGAAAAAGAGTCTGTGAGAATGTTCATCAACAATCTCCAGGAAAAATACTCTAAGCAACTAAAATACCAAAGAAACTTGAACACCTTTAAGGCCGTCTATGACATTGGAATTAATATTGAAGACGACCTTACAAAACTAAAAGCTGCTAACACTAACTCCAATAGTGGCTGGAAAGGAAAGAAGAACGACAATCCTTCTTCTTCCAAAACTACCCACTCAAACAATGTTAGCACCTTTAATCTGAATGAAGTCCTTGCTATGAACAATCAAGGACAAAAGAAACAATTTAAGAGGAACTTTATTCCTATTGGCATGAGTTATGACACCGCATTTGACTGTCTTCATGTAAAGGGTCTTATAACTCCTATTGGACCATTTGGGTATCCACTAGTCGAAAAACAAATCACCTAATTAGAACCCCAATGCACACTGCAAATACCATCAAGGCAGGGGCTATCTTACTAAGAATTGCTGGAAGCTAAAGGAAGCTATCCAGGATTTTATAGACAATAATAAACTCCCAGTGCCTCCTGCAAGTAAGAAGCCAAGTATCAACAATGCACCAATTTCTTATTCCTTGGCCAGCTTTGATGAGGAAAATTTTGTTGATCCCTCATCTTTGATCAAACCAATTGAAGAAACTCATGCCCTTGAAGAAGAAGAAGAAGTATTCTTCGATGCCATGAGCGAACCGTCCCCAATGCAACAACCATCCACTAAGGAAGACATATTGCTCCTTGTATATTCAGTAGAAAAATTTGTAGGCATATGCAGAAAGATTCTTGAACGCACTGAACAAGAACAAAATAAACATGTTTACAAAGAGGTAGCACCAACTATGAAGAAACCATTCTCTCTTCAAGTAGTTAAAACACCTAAAAGAAGCCATAGGCCCTACACTCTAATTGGGACCACCTATGCAAACATGTTAAAATGATCTCCAAGAGTGGCAATATTAAACGTCTCGAACCGAGACAATTTGAATCGCTGAAGAGGACGGATATATTTTACTGCCCCTATCACCAATCAGGGGGACATACAATAGAATACTGTTTTTAATTTAAAGATTTAATTCAGAAACTGATTGATGATAAAAAGATAGTACAAATTCCACAAGAAAAATATGTTACCATTAACTGAGTTTGGGACAGTGAAGACGAGGATGTCTACCTCAAAGATTTAGAAGAGACTCCACTCTCCATAATATATCCGGTAGACAACATTTGGGATGAAGAGGATTCACCATAGATGTCCTCACAAGGTTCGGAAGAATGCAACCTCCCACTACTACGCAACAACCTATCCCTACAACTAAGCAAGTTCCCATACTTATCATAGAAGACAACGATGTTGTCAAGAAATTAAAGAGGACCAAAGTTGATATGAATGTATGGAAACTCTTAGCTACATCCCATCAACATAGGTTAGAATTAATGATTGCTTTGGACAAGATAGGAATAGATTCTGAAACCACTCCTGAGGGTTTGGCTAACTTTCTCACGAGTAATCTCCGTAAACCTATAAATTTAATCACCTTTTCTGACAAGGACTTACCTCTAGAAGGTGATAAACACAATAAAGCATTAAATCTCATGGTAATCTGCAAGAGAATGAATGTCCCAATGACTCTTGTAGATAATGGATCAGCAATTAATGTATGTCCACTTCGAACCGCGTGAATGTTTGGGATAAAAGTTGAAGACTTGTCTCCATCCACACAAGGAATAAGAGCATATAACAACACTCTCCTCCAAGCTCTTGGGACCATCACTATGAATGTGACGGAAGGAGTTAGAGAACATGCCACAACGTTTCAAGTGGTAGACATTAAAGCCTCTTTCAACGTGTTGTTGGGAAGCCCTTGGCTTTACGACCTAAAGGCCGTCCCTTTATCCCTTCATCAGTAAGTGAGGAATATAGTTGGATGAATCCCTATCACAATTGATGCTTCACCAATTAGGATCAAAGCCATTAAAAATCCCATAATAATCATGGAGCACGATGAAGATGACGAGGACTTGTGGGGCTTTAGCGAAGAGGTCTCCTTGATTGAGGAAGATGAAAGGACCCCACTTCACTATGACCTCCACTCCAACATGATAGTAAACTCTATCATTAAGAAATAAGGAAACTTTTCTGGAATGACCCTTGGAAAGAAGAAAGGAATAGCAAAATAGATAGGACTACCTGGCCTCCCTAAATTGGATACTTTTTGACTTGGTTTTGAACTGACTCCGGAAGATCTTAAGTGAGTTCGAGAAAAAGCAAATGCATGTAGGAACGCTCGTACTCAAAAGAAAGCAATCCTAATGGATCGTTACCCTTTTACTCTAAATGGACAATTCATAAAAGAGGGAGGGAATTATCCATGTTATGAATTCGCTGAACCCTTTGTCAAAAATGGGCTAAGACAACCTGGGTTCGAAATATTTCTAGATTGCAACTTCATAGAAGATGTCCCAACTCCCATTCATAAGGAAAAGGCACCCCCATGCTTTGACTTTAATGTCATGGGGCTCCTCTTTGGGTATGAAGAGAATGATCCAAAACGTATCGAAGACAACTCCTTTCTCATTCAAATAGTATTACAGAGTGATAACTTTGATCCCTCCAAAATTATCACTCCAGCAGAGGAGCTAGTTCAAGGATGGCGAAAGACTGTGAAAGTGACCACTCTAAGAGGAAGAAAGATCTCTATAACAACCGGACAAGGGCCAATGTTTGATGAATCATCCGAGTTAGAGTCTAAGCTATAGTCTTCCCCTATCGAGTCTTCTAAGTCCTTAGTCGTAGCACCCTCTTCTAGCTCTTCTTCTTTAGTGT